AACCTGTCCCCACAGAGCCCTCTATTAGGTATAGTTCCTTAGACCCACAAAGAAACTTTGATTTTCAAACTGCTTATCTGCTACATTTTCCTCTCAGTACTGCTATCTTCTTATAGCCATACACCTAGATAGACGTCACCTTCACCAGGTCTTTTTAGGGCAATTGTTTCCCATTGTTGCCATGATGACAGATGGATAAACCTGCAGTTTTTCTGTTCTTTCTTAAAGTATAGTTAGGGTGGGTGACATTTTAATGCCTAAGTTTTAACTTGTTTAGGCTAAATCCATTGAAATGGAATTATTTGACCCAGAGTTAACTGGCAGCTGGGTAAGGTGGTATGAGCCTGAATCTAAAGCGATTTGTTTAGACCCTGACTCAAAATAAAGTTTTGAAGTTTAAAATTTCCTGCCGTGGTTAAACGCTGGTATAGTCCAGGTACTGGTTCTGATGTTCAGTACCAAAAATTTTAAAAGGCTGATGGTTATAAATGTAATGTGTTGGTTTTTCTGTGTGATTTATCTTCAGTAACGGTTGTTTTAAAGTTAATGTGTAGATTCTAGTGTCTTAAAATATGTTCAGAAGGTGCTTCAGAGTGAAGATGGGGGAAGGACTCTGACTTCGTTGTCAGCCACTCACAGTGAAGTTTCATTTCTGCTCCCAGTGATAGTTTATCGGCTTGTATAATACATCATTTTGCTTTAAAAAAGAAAACATGGGTGGGAGATGGTTGAGTGTAATAAATTATGACATGATGTTCAAACCTTGGGCAAATCTGCTACTTGAACTAAATGCTAATTTTGTCTAATTAATATTTTCAACCCTAGCTTAATTAACTTTTACTCCCAATTTGATACATTGAGTAGATTAATTGAGCTGCTTTTCAGCATAAATTTATACTCCTGTTCAGACGAACTGTGTGAAATTAGGAGTAGTTGAAAACTTTTCTCTTTAATATTTTTGCATAGTTAATTTGATTAAAACCAATCTCATTAAAGACGTTTAAAGCGAAAGTCTATGCAGTGTTTGAGAGGATTTACATCCATTTACTTTGGCTTATTCTTCACTGGGTTAACCGTAATTCTGCTTCTGCTGCAGACTACCAATACTGAACTAATTATCCCACTCTGTACAGGATTGTCCTCACAGTAAGGTTTTGTTCTTTCTCCCCCGAGAGGCAGAGGGCGACCCTGAGGGGAAATCGTGTGTGTGGAAACCTGAAGAACTGCTCCCCAGCCTTGGAAACTCAGGCATGGCTCTTGTCTGGGGCCTTGGAACCCAGAGTTGCTTTAGTTTGTTCATGAATGGGATTTGAATTTCAGAGCCTGGGAGAAAATTAACTCACCCAAATATATCTGTTATTGCCAGGGGTCAAGAGCTAAGACAGAAATTAATATTCTCTAGAAGTCCCTCATTGTCAACGATAAGAAGAGGAACCCAAAAGCAACCCAGAAAGCGAGAATGGCTGGTCGGGCACATAAAAGGCACCAAACATATTGAACACCTTTAATCACAGCCTTCAACCTCAGGAGGTTGAGGCAGGAGCATCACACTGTCAAAGCTCCATCTGTTTGCCTGCCAAATTCAGGCTGTCATTTTTTTCTGCTGTGTAGTACTCCATTGTGTAAATGTACTACATTTTCCTTATCCATTCTTCAGTCGAGGGGCATTTAGGTTGTTTCCAGGTTCTGGATATGATAAACAATACTGCTATGAACATGTCCTTGTGGCATGGTTGAGCATCCTTTGGATATATACCCAAAGTGGTATTGCTGGGTCTTGAGGAAGGTTGTTTCCTAATTTTCTGAGAAATCACCACATGATATACAAAGGGGCTGTACCAGTTTGCACTCCCACCAGCAATTCAAGAGTGTTCCCTTTTCTCTACAACCTCTCCAGCAGAAGTTGTCATCAGTGTCTTGGATCTTGGCCATTCTTACAGGTGTAAAATGGAATCTCAGAGTTGTTTTGATTTTCATTTCTCTGATGACTAAGGATGTTGAGCATTTCCTTAAGTGTTTTTCAGCCATTTTAGACTCCTCTGTTGAGAGTTCTCAGTTTAGGTCTGTACTCCTTTTTTTTTTTATTGGATTATTTGTTCTTTTGATGACCAATTTCTTGAGTTCTTTGTATATTTTGGAGATCAGACTTCTGTATGATGTGGGGTTGGTGAAGATCTTTTCCCATTCTGTAGGCTGTCATTTGTTGACCATGTCCTTTGCTTTACAGAAGCTTTCTAGTTTCAGGAGGTCCCATTTATTAACTGTTTCTCTCAGTGTCTGTGCTGCTGGGGTCATATTTAGGAAGTGGTTCCCTATGCCAATGCGCTCAAGTATACTTCTCACGTTTTTTTCTATGAGGTTCCTTGTATCCCTGCTCTTTCCAAGACCTTTATCTTGAAGGAATGTTGTATTTTGTTGAAGGCCTTTTCAGTATCTAATTAGATGATCATGTGGTTTTTATTTTTTCAGTTTGTTTATATGGTGGATTAGGTTGACAGATTTTCAAATGTTGAACCATCCCTGCATCTCTGGGATGAAGCCTACTTGATCATGGTGGATGATGGTTCTGATGTGTTCTTGGATTCAATTTGCCAGTATTTTATTTTAGTATTTTTGCATCAATGTTCATGAATGAGATTGGTCTGTAATTCTTTCTTAGTAATGTCTTTATGTGGTTTGGGTATCAGGGTAATTGTAGCCTCATAAAAAGAGTTTGACAATGTTCCTTCTCACTCCCTATATTGAGCAGAGCCTCCTGGTATAGCCCAGACTGACTTCAAACTCACAGTCCTCCTGCCTTAGTTTTGTCAGTGCTGGGATTACAGGAATGAACTACCACACTGAATCATGCGTCATCTTGTGATGATACCAATCCCATTGATTAGTGCTCTAATTTCCATACAGACTGTGTGCAGTTGAGAGAGAGAGAGAGAGTGTGTGTGTGTGTGTGTGTGTGTGTGTGTGTGTGTACCTATGTTTACAGAGGTTAGAGAACAGCTTGTGAGCGTATGTTGGGTCCCAGTATCAAACTCAGATCCTCAGACATGGCTGCAAGTGTCTTTACTCACTAAGCCATCTCACTGGTCCCTGGTTATATCATTTTTAAAGCCAGAAAGAAGAATTTACTGTAGCCTTTTAGTTGTTTTGGTTTTTGTCTAGAGATCTTAGTTTTCCTTTAGATTTACTTTAGTAAAGTTCTCCCTGTGTCTTGAGTTGCTTGCTCGGTTCCCAGTTTTCCACTGTGTAACACTTCCTAAGCTTTGTCAAGAGGCAGCTGCCCCCACCACACTCAAGGGCACAGTTGCTGGTACCGCAGGAAGCAGCAGCAATGGCAGCCATGGCACTGATCTGTCAGAGCTCTTCTCGTGACTCTTAGAACCTTTGGCTGGTGACTAAGTTGGAGAAGATGTTGTTTAGGTTGGATGTGCAGCTGTTTGCCTTGCAGTACATATTTAGCGTGTAAAAGGGCCTGAGTTTACTCTCTAGCACCAGGACAGAAACACAGGAAAGCAGAAGGACAAAGAAAGGAAACAGTGTGTCTTTCTGTCTGTGCTCCCCCGCAGTGTGTGTGTGTGTGTGTGTGTGTGTGTGTGTGTGTGTGTGTGTTTGCGCACATGCACGCGCATGTCCGTATGAAAAATGAAAGCATGAAAGTATTTGTACATTTGTATTAGTGTTGGAAATCTGGGGTATAATCACATTATTAAATGTATGAATATTAAAGTTTAACAGCAAAAAAGATGAGTGTCTGAATATATGAAGGAAGCATTCCTTCAGGTATCAAGAGATTCCATGATCTGTGACAGCTTTCTTCTTACAGTTCTCAGGACCACTTTAGAGCATAGGAAAGCGTGTTACAGATAACTGGGAGTGTGGGAGTCAGTGCACTTCTCTGAGACTAATGATCTCAGCCAAGAATAAAACCTGACAGAATAAAAGTTACCTGATAGCCAGGGCTGTACCTCCCTAGGCATGGGGATGGACTGGCTTCCTTTAACACAGTTAGAAGTATTTCCATGACTATTTGAAGTGTTCGTTTCCCTTTTGCTTTCTGGGGGTAACCACTGTGATGAAACAGTGTTTTCAAAGAGATGTCAATTGTGTCTTCAGATTCAGCATTACAGAGACATCAAGGGCAGATGGATTAAGCACCGATTTGGAAAGACTCCAGTCCCCTTGAATATAATTAAGTGTACTGTACCATCCCTAAGACTGTAGAAGTTATCAAGGCCACAGCTACATAGGGATAACATAACATTACAAGTCACTAGTTCCTTACCAAATAGATGGGGAGAGTAGAATTAGATGATAGAGGGAATAACTGTAGTTATTATATAACATCTCAGTGGGAGGATCCAAAATAAAAACAGTTTAGATCTACTGTTCTATCATATTTAGGTGACTTCAGTCAAATTATAATTCCAGTACACCTTAGACAGGAACAGATGACTCATTGGTTATCAGTAAGATGTACTTTGTAATGTTGACCTAAAATTCAACTTAAAACAGGCATATAATATGTATCTCCTGTGGTGATGATTTATTCTGTGTAATAACCATGACACACTTGCAGCGTGGTGTTAAATGGGCCCTCCAGAGCTCTGTATATACAGTTTGGTCTGTTTCCTACATTCTTTAGGAATCTGGAAAAGTCATAGAATATGAAATATCTGCCATAAAACTTTGCAGTGAGCTCAACTACCTTTCTTATAAAGTTTAGCCACAGGGCCAAGGAGTTGAGTCCTTTATTCCCTGTAGCCACAGTGGAGTTTAAGAGACTTTTCACAGCTTAAAACTACGTTGGTAATGAGTGGTATGAAGAATATTGAGATTTTTACTATTAATGAATCCTATACACATGATTAAAAGTGAAGACTTTATTGTTTAATCCCAAGCATGTACTTTATAATATATATATTATACATAATATATAATTTATTCATTGTATAAAATATATGGGTTGTATTTTTACAAGTATATTTTATTTTTTTCCCAAACAGATAAACAATCAGATCCTTTATGGAAGAAGTCATCAAAATGCATCTGCCATTATTAAAACTGCCCCAACCAGGGTCAAACTGGTTTTTATTAGGTAAGTTTTTCCTAAATATACAGTCTATTCTGCAGAGACCATTATTGGCAAAAGACTGTTTTATTTTTGTTTTGTCTAACAAAGTCACTGTATTCCACACTTTGCTTTTCTGTTACTTTAAGAAAACTGTGGAGTGTTTGAACTCCACAAGATTCTTCTTGGTTTTCCATGTTTTACAACATGGAATTGGTAGTTGAGTTTCTTGATGTTTAAATCTCAGCTCCTATAGAAGTGTTTGTATGCTAGGTGCTATTTTTCTGTAGAAATGCAATGGAGCCCTTCACTATTTCACCATGGCTTTTCATTCACTCGTTATTATTGTCTTTCTGAAAGATCCAGTAGTCAGAGAACATAGAAAAGTGTAGGGGCATCTTTCAGGAGTGCTGATGAGGGTTGTGGGTATTTTAGGTATTAGAGCACTTGCTCATATATGCTAGATCTTGGCTTCATCTTCAGTACCAGATACAGTAGTATATGCGTATAATTCCAGCAATTGGCAGAGGTTGGGGGCGGGGTCAGAAGTTCAAGGTTATACTTGTGTGCATAGAGAGCTGGAGGCCAGCCTGCTGCACAAGACATTTTCATTTAGGAAAAAAAGTGCTAGTGAGAAATGTAGCTTAGGAAATCCATCTCTGCAGTGTTTGGGATTCCACACGCAGCCACCTCACCAATCAGCTCCGACAGTGCTTGTCAGGAAGAGTTGGGAGTCTGTACATCTTGCAGCCAGTTTTCTATACCCATAAGAGATGGGCTTGTTTAAGTCTCTGTTATTTAACTGAAATGTTAGTTAAAATTAAATAATTTGTAGGTGGTGTAAGTAACCATGTTTGTTAAGTATTTCTGGGTGTCTTTCCTTTATGCTTCCATTACCATTTTTCATATGAACACCATAAAACATCTACTTCCATCATTGTTTTGTTTCAAAACTTTAAAATGACATGCCGGAGAGATGTCTCAATGGATAAGAGCATTGGCTGCTCTTGCAGTGGACACAGGTTCAGTTCCCAGCATCCATATGGCAGCTCCAGTCCCAGGAGGCCCAATTCCTTCTTCCTGGGCTCCTTGGGCACCAGGTGTGAATATGGTACATAAAATATGCAGACAGAACACTTGTGCACATTAAATAAAATAAATGAACCAAAATTTTTGAACGTAATCAATATGCGCTGGGGATGCAGCTCAGAGGAGGTAGAGCACTTGCCCAGAATGCTCAAGGCCATCTCCAGTGCTGCACAAGTAAAACAGTTGACACAAGGGGAAACTTCAGGGCTGAAAGAATGTTCACTGCCTTTTCAAGATGAAAATGGTTGTTATTTTTCCCTTCGCTGCTAATTACCATCAGTGAGACCTCTCCACCACTGGGAACACCGGTATTCGAGGATAGTTTTGTTCCCAAGTTGGGCACTAGTACAGCTGAATACCCTTCCCACCACCTTTCAGCCCTTCCTTGTACTTTCTCCTGATGCTCCCCTCCAGCTACATACTCTTCTCCTACCTAATAGCTCTTTCTTCCTATCTGGCTTTTTTGTTCTGCCTTCCAAAGGGGGAGATCTTCTTGTGTGTCTCTGTGTCTTGTGTGCCACCGGCTGAGGAGTCCTCAGCAGCGTCCTTTTTGGGTTTCCTTGCTCTTCCAGTTGTCAAGTGTTTCACGTGAGTTCGCTTATGGTAACCTGAGCAGATTTGAAGCAAGGCCAGTCACTGAAAAGGCTAAGACGTCCACTGAGAGAAGTCCGCACAAGTCACAGGTTCAGCCTTGGAGACTGCCTGCAAAGGCTGTGTGCGGATTAAACAGATGTGGACCTGCTGGGGTTTTGACATCATTCGTGTGTCACACAGGGTTCATATGCCGTAAAGTTTCCCATGTTGTCCTTTGAAAGGGGTTCAAAAAAGTCAGTCACTCACTGGGTACCTCCCTGAGAAGATTAAGGCACTTCTATGGATTTGGAGTTAGTTTTCTTGAAACTGTGTTCTTATAAACACACACACACACACACACACACACACACACACACACACATATAAGCTTTGGTGCTAAAGAGATGGTTCAGGGGGTGTTTCTCTTCCAGGTGACCTGAATTTGGTTCCCAGTACCCATCTGGATTCATGTGTACACACACACACTTTCAACACAATTTAAGAACTAAAAGAAAAAAAAATGCACTTGGGATGGAGTTGTAGTAGAATGCTTACCGTTCATGAGCATCCTCATGCGCCACAAAGAGATTAAACAGAGAACAAATGAGACTAATCCCAGAATCACTCTCTGCCCTCCTGGCTTCCCATGATGCCTCTCCCTCTCTTACAAACTGCCCCAGTGATGTCACCATTTATATAGTCCCTCACCACAGCATACACAATGCTGTTTGGATGCTCAGCTGTTGAAAGCATGCGCTAGCCCTCCCGAGGCTGCTTCTTGTAGTAGATGGGAGTAACAACAATCCACAAACTGGACGGTGTGCATGGCATTCGCTGCGGTTACAAGTGCTGTTAACAGTTGCTGCAGCTCTGGTGGGGCCTTTAATGCCAGTTTAAAGGAGCAGAAAGGAAATGGAGTAGGGTCCAGAGGAAATCATTTAATGTTGTAAAGGATTTGGGAGTCAGAACCCTCCTCCTCCTGTAAAGAAAGACAAGCAACATGGAGTTGACCATAGGAGACAGAGCTGCAGAGAGGCTCCAGAGCGATGAGGACCTGGGCAGCTCAGCTTTCTGACAGTTTTAAGTTTTTGTTTGTTTGTCTGGTTGCTTTGTTTAGAGCAGGGTGAATCAAATGACAGTTTGCTTGCTAAGTTAATGGTGTGTGCAAGACTGAAGAGGCTAATAAGTATTTATTTGCTAAGATGATACTAAGTAATTTTGAAGCTATCAGTGTACACTGAAAAGGTTTAATCTGATGAGGAATTGTGTTCCTTTGGGACTGCTAGTAAAATGAACACTGTAGACTTGCCAGCTTATGACTACAGAGATTTATTTCTTCAAATCCTGATGGATGGCCGGCAAGTTTGGCGTCTGGTAAGGGCCCGCTTCCTGTCTCTTACTAGGTCTTTACTTGTCAAAGCAGTTTCCTTCTGCATGTTTTTCAACAGCATGAATCCCAAGAGCTCTGCCTCCAGAGATCTCCCCAGAAAGCCCTCAGCTAACAGTGTCACCCTAGTAGACAGGCTTGGGGATACATTCAGACCATAGTGTGTACCTCTGTTGCAAGGTCCTTAAATTATATAATACCCAGCATCTGGTGGATTTTCAGAAATGTTATTGAATAACTCTCTTTCAAACTACCACAGAGCAGTTCTAGATTCTTTTCCAAAGTAAAAATGATAGCAACTTACTATTGTGTGAATTTAAATATATAGTATATATGTATATAATTCGAAATTCTTTGTGTCTAATAAGTCTAGCTTTTTATAATTTCCCCAAATTAGTAAGATTGAAATATTTTTCTATATTTTCATAGAAAAATGACAAGGGATTGGCAGGGCAGCTGAGTGATTGAGAACTTGCCCAGCGTGTATGTGCAGGTCCCGGGTTTCAGTATAAACAGTGCCAAAAGTGAGAACAACAAGAGAAAAGAACAGGTCTGCAGGAGGAGCAAAGTTGTGGGAGTGAGTCTGTACAATTTCCTGTGTCCACGTTGAAATTTATGGGGAAATGAACTTCAGCTGAATCGGGGAGATGTGCACTGTGCTGACAGCCAGGTTTTATTGAACTGAATTGATACATATCTGGTATTTTATGTGCAGACAATGAATTAAGCCTCACTTGCCAAATGAAAGGAACTATTGCCCTGAGAATGCATACCTAGAAAGAGAAATCCTCTCCCTCTTCCCCATTCCTGGATGAAAATCTGAAGAATAAACCTTGGGTCCATCATCTTCAGACTTGGAATCCAGATGTTTATACCTCAGCTGTGTGAGCTTAGTCTAGTGTGGGGATGAGTGCCTAGCCAGATGCAGCCAGCACTGTCCTCTGCTGGGGTGACAGCTGGGACTATGGCCGGAAAAACTGAAAGAAGTAAGAGAGGAAATGATGGGAAAATGCACTTTCTGTATTCTAATTTCAGGATGCTGGGTGTTTATTACGTGTGTGTGTGTGTGTGTGTGTGTGTGTGTGTGTGTGTGTGTGTATTTGGGGACGTATAAGGGGTCCGTGTTCTTCAGCATGGGTATGGAGGTCAGAAAACAACTTGTGAGATCAGTTCCCCCCTTCTTCCATGTGAGCCTTATAGGACCAGATTTGCTGACAAATATTTCTTGTACTGCCCCGGTTTTGATACTGTGATATAAAGCAGGTTTGTGCTGTAAGAGTCTTTCATTCCATCACAATGAATAAGCATAATGAATGAAAAGGAAATAGACCAGACCTTTTCTTTTGGGTCACCAACCAGCTCCCAAACCATGGCTCAGAGACTTCTCATTATTTATGAGTGCTTGGCCTAGCTTAGGCTCATTTCTAACTGCTCTTTTAACTCAACCTGTTTCTCTTCATTTATGTTTTCCTCAGGACTTCTGACTCTCCTGCTCGCTCTGTGTCTGGCTGCCTGGCTGCTGGCCTCAGGTGTCTCCCTCAGTCTCTCCTCTCTTCTTCCTCTTTCTCCTTTCTTCCCCTACTTATTCTCTCTGCCAGCCAACCCTGCCTATCATTTTTCTGCCTAACTATTGGCCGTTCAGCTTTTTATTAGACTAATCAGATACCTTAGGCAGGCAGGGTGAAACAGCAACGTATCTCTTCATAATTAAACAAATGCAACATAAACAAATGTAACACACCTTTACACAGTTAAAGTAATATTCTGCAGCATAAAACACATTTTTACATAGTTAAATATTCTAAAACAAGGAACACTATGTAAAACCATTTTCTGGGAATGTTATTAAAGGGATCAAACCGGGTGGTGGTGGCGCACGCCTTTAATCCCAGCACTTGGGAGACAGAGGCAGGCAGATCTCTGTGAGTTCGAGGCCAACCTGGTCTACAAGAGCTAGTTCCAGGACAGGCTCCAAAGC